TGCCTATGAAGGCTTTTCCATGTGCCTGTTTTGGGGTGCTTCCCCAATAGTTGATATGTTGTTCCTGAATCCAGTCATTTATAAAACCCCGGAATTTTTGGTACTCCTGGGTTTGTGTTTGGTTCTGGTGTTTCTTCTGACCCTCTTTTTGCAAGTTCGTCAGCCTTTTCGTTGCCTTCGATCCCTTTGTGACCTGGCACCCTAAATAGTTTTACTCTATTTCGGTCTGCCAGTGTTCTTAGTTCTTCGATGCATTCCCATACCAGCCTCGACGTAACTTTCTGACTCGATATGGCCTTAAGTGCCGCTTGGCTGTCTGACATTATTTGAATATGCTGATTTTCGACAGCTCTTTCATTGTTCGTTTTTGCACATTGCAAAATTGCGTATACCTCGGCCTGAAATATCGAGGAATGTATTCCTATAGCATAGCTATGGTTAGTATCAGGGTTTTTGGAGAATACTCCTGCCCCAGTGCCTTCCGCAGTCTTAGACCCGTCTGTATACTAGGTTTGTTCCTGTCGTTGGGCTCCCTTATGGTGATCTCCGCTCTTTCCTGTATTAAAACCTCAAAGGGAGTATTAAAAGAGTACCTCTTGGTTTAAGTGGTCTGATCTCATGTCTAGCACGTCTTCTGTCACTAACCTTGAGATAATCATGTGACCTGGCCTAATGTCAAGATTTCCCAGTGTATTCCCTAATCTGTAAGCACCTAATCTTGCCTCCCCTTGTATCACATAGTGAAGAGGTGGGAGTCCTATTAGTGCTTCCATTGCAGCAGTGGGGGTTGTTTTCATTGCCCCCGTTATTCTGAGGCAGGCAAGTCTTTGTACCTTGCTTAGCCTCGTTATTGCTTTCCTTTGCTGTGTCTTTGGCCACCACACCAAAGCTGCGTATGGGTCTCACCACCATGTTATAAAGCCAGTATACCATGTCTGGTTTTAACCCCCATTTTTTTCCAAAGGATCGTCTTGCCATCAATTTTGTTACTGAATAAATGTATAGTTTCACGTAGGTGGACTAAATTGGTAAAGGGACAAAGGGCCAAGAAAACGACAATGGCGGGCCTCAAGCTGTAGGCTACAGGCCTGCTTTAGACAATTCTGTAGCATTTAATTTTGCTTCTAAAATTTCTAAAATATCATCGGTACAAAGGAAACCTAACATATAATATTCTTAAAATGTTTTTTTTAGTTCGAATAAGTATAATTACCCAGAAGGTAGTTTTGTATCTCTACTATAGTATTTGGTGTAAAATGTTACTAGATATTAGGTTAAATATTTATTTTCTCGTTTACAACGATTTATCTGCCATTGTAATCTGAAACGAAGACAATAGTTTAGAAAATGGTTTTTTATTTTATAGAGAATCCTAATCAAATCTACTCGAAAGTATAAAGAATAATTATTTATAAAATAAATTCTCCAAGTTAAAACATCATGATTCCTATACTTTCCTTAGCTGTATACAGATAGGAAAGTAAAAATAAACCATCAAAAACATAACAAATGACAAGAAAAATTGACAAGTAACAAATGACATAAATATAAACGTTCCGAATTCAGATTGTGATGTTCACAGTACTTTTCGTGGTTACTTTTTTTAGCAAATTACTTTATTACGTTGTGTTAACATAACAGGTAGGGAAAATAGGTAAGTAACAAATAGAAGTTTTGCAAGGTTTTGATTTTCCGCAACAACTTTTCATGTACTTTGCAAAGTAATGTTATTACGTTCCCTTAAATCAACATCGCCGAAAGGCTTGGCAACGTTATGTGCTAGCTGGTTAGTTATTATGCTTGATCAATATATACCGAGTTAATTACTATTACCCACATACTTTGATTTTCTTTTACTATACGGAGAATGGTCGCACTGCGCAGCTTTCTGAGTGCCTTTTAAAAGGAGATAGAAAACTCCGCCATTTTGAACCCTTATTACGTGTTGCCTACATCTTGGCGCAATATTTTTAATAGGTGCGTTTTAATCATCCGCTTCTGCTTCGGAATTGTCGGTTTTCTTGTTTTAATTTGACAAGTTAAAACGACTAAACCGACAATTCCGGAAGCAGAAGCGGATGATTAAAACGCACCTGATATTTTGCTTGCGGCTGTTAGTGTCAGTGAATATTATTTTTTGAGTCACAGATTATTGCTAAAGAATCAGTTAGCTCACTCGGACCAGTTGAAAGTTTCAAAATAAGATCCACTCCAGGGATACAAATTTAGGATACGCAGAAGACTGCTGTTTTATTATAGGCGGTTGTTATATGTTTTATTATAGGCGGTTGTTATATGTTGCATTATCCGAGTTGCGCAGTGTATAAACTGGAACATTGAGATCAAAAGTGCCGACGCAGAGTGAGCGATCTGATTCTTTAGCTATAAACTGTTGCATAGGGTTCAAAATGGCCGGGCCCTATGTTGGGCGTGTCGGACCTCTCTCTTGCGCCGTATAGTAAAGAAAATCAAAGTATGTGCTATTACCATAATACCATAATCTATTTACAAATGCAGATAAGAGATTTTTTTATTAAAATGAACCAACCAACAAAATCGGTTGCTTTTTTGTCATTTTTGAAATATCCCAACGCAAATAGCTCGCGCGATTTCCAGATCCGGCCGCATACAGATGTCCCCGATCGAATCGAATGTCACAAAACGGCAAAACACCGAAAAAAAAACGACCAACAAAATTTCTATCGACCGCAGTACATTTCCTCCACTTTGAATGAGTCTAGCGGGAGCACAGTCGGCGGTTAACACCTAGCTTGCGCTCAACTGGAACTCGCCCACATCAAAGGCGGCCGTTCGCTAAAAATACAAACAACGGACGATCGGCGACAAACGACGATCGCGTTGCACATCCAGTGATCTTTTCGGATGCCGCCCGCCTTTGATAGCGGGGCGATATCAATTCGCTGGATGTTGATAATGTGATAACGGGCAAAGGCAAAAGAATCAAAAGATGTGAGAATCGGAAATGGATAGTTTAAAGATACCGCGAATCGATGAAAAATTATTTAATTATCATTTCAACACTCTCAGCGATTATACGATAGTACAAAGGCGGAGAGTATACACCTATTTAGAAAGGGAAACAAATTTTAAAATAGAATTTGTTAGATATGCTTTTTCTTCCTTTCGGATTTATAACATTAAATTAATGTTTGATCTGGAATTACGAAATTTATTTTTTGAAAATCATTTGTATTACAGCTTATTATAGTTGCCTGTCTAGGAACAATATTGGCAATGGTGATGGGTGATTATTATACCTTTAAATAAATATAGGGATTTCTTGTATATTCTAGTAATAGGACTTACTAAGTAATTTGTTAATAATAATAATCATCATCATCATAAAAAACATAAAAATATAAATCAACCGGGAACGTAACTTATTATGAGCAATTTAAAACAATTCGCAGGGAAATACTCACGATCTAATTTTGTAAAAAAAGACGAGAGAAATTTTGGTCTTACTTAAATACCTTGGGGTAATGAATCAAGTCTATCAAATTAAATGAGTTATCAAGGTGTTAACATGTCAAATTGTGTAGACGTAATTAATTCCTTTGCAAATTTTTTCCAATCTGCCTTTATCAGCTCAACAACCTTCGACAATTGTGATGGTTTTAAAAAATCTAATGTACTTACTTTGTCAATAAGCTAAGATATGCCCGATATTCAAAAAAGGTGAAAGAAATAACATAGAAAACTCCAGACCCATTGATATCTTATGCAATTTCAGTAAAGTATTTGAAATGGTAATTTCCGAGTTTTTATCATCGCATGTTAACTCACAGATGTGGAAGGATCAACAAGGATTTGTTTCAGACAGATCGACGGTTACTAACTTGTTTAATGTTACACAGTTTATCTCTGAGGAATTAGACGGTTCTGGTCTGTCATTTATACCGATTTTTCTAAAGCATTTGTTGGTATTCTTCTTAAGAAACTTTCACAGTATGGCTTAAAAAAAAGATTTAATTGCATTTTTTAATTCTTATCTATATAGGAGGATCTTAAGTGTTGAGTACTAGAGTCACAAATCTACTAAGATTACTGCAACATTTGGTGTTCTTCAGGGGTCAGTCCTTGGGCCATTGTTATTTATAATCTTTATAAATAACATCTGCCTGAACTTGAATTATCATATTCTTTTATATGCTAATGATTGTAAACTTTACACAAAAATAAATTACATCAATGACTCAATTAGTTTTCAAGATAATCTAGTGACATTGTACAATTGGTGTGATAACTTGCTGCTATTAAATATTAATAAATGTAATTGTATATCATTTAATCGTATAAAGCAACCGGTAATTTTTGACTACCACATTAATGGCACCAATTTGATAAGATGTACTAGTTTTAAAGACTTGGGAATTATTTTTTAAGGTAACTTAACCTTTGTTGAGCATATCAATACCATTGGCTCATCAGCGTACAAGACCCTCGGTTTTTTAACAAGGGATTTTAAATTTTTTTGTAGACAGCAAAATCCTCCAACTTCTATTTGATGCATTTGTAAGATCGAAACTTGAATTTGCTTCCATATGTTGGTGTCCTTGGTACGGTGTACATGTCGTAGGCAAAATGCAAATTTAGGCTTTTTATAAACTGCCTAGGCATTTTACAAAAAGCCGGCAAAACGCGAGAATAAAATGTATTTTTCGTTATGCCGACATTAATTCAGGCAAATTGATAAAATGCCGGCAAAACAAGAACAGAAGAATGTATATCATGTTATGACTGATTATTTTTAGGCATTTTACAATTTGCCAAAAAACGGTGCCGTTAAAACGTAAATAGATAAAAGAAGTCGACTTTTTTCGATTGAATAGTAAATTAGGTATTAGGAATTGCCCGTTTGCAGTTTGATATCAGCCAGCGGCTGCGGTCGGTAAAAACGCACACTGTGTTATAATTTAATATTTCGCGTAACCCTTATTTTGTTGTTTATCTAATTTGATATTTTCAAGAACATCAAAATGAGCGAAAACCGCAAAGACATACACATCAAGAAAGAGAAACGAAATTTAGAAGTCATGAAAGCGCAATTTAATGAACAGCTACAAAAGTTTTATAGTGAAAAAGTGGAAAAAGATGTTATTAAAAAATCTTGGACGGCTGATAGGGCTAAAGAAGTTATTACAGACATTAAGCATGGTAAATTAGCTGACTCAACAGGTATCAAATAAAATAATAAGCAGTATCATTTAATGAGAAAATATGATATTTTGTCTATCGGTACTGATGAACATTTAGTCATAAAACAAAGTTTTCTTGACCAACCTATTGTTTACATAATTCCCATAGAACAGTATTTTGATGTGTTGCTAGAATCTCACCGATCTACAGGTCATGGTGGCTGGGATAAAATGCTATTTGCATTAAAAAATAAATATAACATTCCTAGAAGAGTAGTAGAAACTTCATTTCACTAAGCAAGGAATGTCAACTTAAGAAATCGCAACCTCATAAGCGATTGGTTGTGCGACTAATCCTTTTTAAAGATTTCGTGCCAAATAGATTTAATAGATTTTCAATCTACTTCTGACGGAAACTATAAAGGGCTTCTATCTATCAACAAGACCATGCGACCAAATTTTTGCATCTTCGCCTTTTATATACCAAACGTGCTGCAGAGGTAGCTATAGAATTACTAAAAATATTTTTGGAGTTTGGAGCACTGCACAATTGCACATATTGCAAAGTGACAATGGCCGGGAATTTACTGCTTTGGTGATAGAAGAAATTGTTGGCTACTGGCCTGATTGCAAAATTGTTTATAGCCTACGTCACCCTCATGGCCAGGGCAGCGTGGGAAAGAAGTAATCAAGATGTTAAGAACATGCTTCATTCCTAGATGTCCGATCACTCCTCCACAAATTGGTCCATGGGGTGCTATTTTGTACAGTGGCAAAAAAATTCATCAAATCATCGCATTATTGAAAGGACGTCCATTGTTTGGAGCTGATCCGAAACTTGGATTAAAATCGACAAACCTGTCAGATTCTGTAATTAAAGAGCTTCGGACAGAAGAGGAACTTGAAGATAAAATGAATCCTTCACGAACCAACAACACTGAACGGGAAATACCAGAAGATAATCTTGATTCGGACTCAAAGGGTAGCATTCAACTGGACAAAATGTAAGAAAATGCGACTGAGACTTTAAGTGATAATTTTGTATGTTGTTGTGCGTGTAATGAAAAATCTAATTTCACTTGTGAGATATGTAATGCCACAATGCATTCAAATTGTACAATTTTAAGTTCAGGACCATCTTTAAAACTAGATACAAGGATTTGTTCACTTTGTAAAACTCAAAATAAAATTGAAATTGAGAGACAACAATCTTACTCTGGTCAAAAAAGAGCAGCTGAAAAGATGACTGAGGCATCCAACAAAAAATTTAAGTCGATTGCAATCGGATCATATGTTTACTTAACAGTTCCTTAGGTAGATCGAGGACCTCTCGATTCCAAGAATATCATTGGAAAAGTGATTGACCTTAAAAATAGCCTCTACAAATTAGGTACCTCTAAAGGAATTCTTAAAACTTTATTTTCTAGAAATGATATTCAAGAATCCTCAGTAGGTTTTGAAGATGAAGTTCCTGACCGACTAATTACTCTTAGAGAGGCAGTTGCATATCAGTCGCGATTCGGAGGTCAAGGCTTTCAAAAATGTAGCTGTAAGGCTAATAGTAAACAGTACAATACAAACAAATATGCTTGCTTTAAAAATAATAATTTATGCTCTTCTAAATGTCATGGAAGTTTGACACGCAGTAATAAATAAAGAACTAGTTTTCCTTTTTTAGTTATTCTTTTGTGTTTGTAATAACGTGTACTTAAATGTTAAATTATAAGAATATCTTATTATTTTCAAAGGATTTGTTTTTTATTTGCAGTTTCATATTTGTGTTAGGTAGTTATTAAAGTTAATAGGTATATTTTTATATCATAAAGTGTAAACTGTTTATTTATGTTTTCTTAATAAAAAGATTTACTGTAAACTGTATTTTATATATTTAGTAGTATTTTCTACTTTATTTTCACGTTTTTGACGACACCGTTTTCGGCAAATTGTAAAAATGCCTGAAAATAATCAGTCACAACATGATATATATTCTTCTGTTCTAGTTTTGCCGGCATTTTATCAGTTTGCCTGAATTGGTATTGACATAACGAAAAATGCGTTTTATACTGGCGTTTTGCCGGCTTTTTGTAAAATGTCTAGGCATTTTATAATATTCCTAAATTTGCATTATGCCTACGACATACACATTAATAAGATCGAATCTGTACAGCGACGTTTTTTCAAAACACTACTATAGAATAGATAATGTGGTATTACTCAAGCAATACTACTTCAGAGGTTCAATGTTGTCTTTGCAATTTCGTCGGATATAATATAGCAGTGTTGTATTTTTATTTAAACTACTTAATAATCAAATTGATTCGCCACACCTACTTTCATGTACCCAGGGTTTCAACAAGGTTAGATAACATGTTTTACTTATCCGTTGTGCAAACAAATATATACTAATCTTTTCACCATTGCATCAAGTATGTGTCAATTATATGAGGTTTCAAAGTGAAATTGACTTGTTTAACTCATCAGTGCTCAAAATTAGGGAAACTATATTGTAGACCATCTGGTATATGTTCTGAATTAACCTAATACAACCCTATATATTTTTTATATTGAGTATTATAATTTCTATTGAAATAATTTAATACAACCCTGTATATTTCTTAATACTGATTTTTATTTCTATTGAAATACTCAAAAATTCACCCATCGAAACAGATGTCTATCCTAACTGTCTTTCGGGGTGTATGACCTGAAGGCCATGTGGTTTATTGGTTAAATTGATAATATTTTGTAGCAAATGTCAAGCCGCTCTTAAACGAAACCCCGGTGGTATATCAAAGAAAGTTACATAATTCTTTTGACTCACTATTGAAAATACAGACATTAGATTATGTACTAAATTTATCTAGCGTTGTGACGGCGTCGATTTAGGTACGTCGCAGCGTTGAGCGTCGCCTCGCGTCGAGGCGCCTAGCGTCGTGGTGGAAAGAAAGGTATTTTATACGGTACTGCATTGGGACAGATATACGGTAAAAATATTTAGGTGGTGCGGGACGTGACGAAGGGTGTCGTTAAGGATATTATGAAGGAAATATTTAGGGGCGGCATGAATGTAAGGTAAGAAATTAAATGAATCCGAGCCCCTTTGGTCAGACTTTTTATACTAAGTTTAATAGCTTTCTGTCACGTCTCTGTGTTTTAGTTCCCATCGAAAATACGAATGTGGGTGCAGAAGGAGGTGGCTTATTTACTACTTGCCTTGAAAGCTTTGTGTATTGAAATATTGTCGAAATCGGTCTTAACATCGAAACTAGAAAGATAAGCGTGTTAAGTGTTGTAATGATAATTACTTCGTGAAAAGAAACGAACGAACGAACCAACCAACGAACGAACGAACGAACGAACTAACGAACGAACGATCGATCGAGCGAACCAACAAACAAACAAACAAACAATCAAACAAACAAAACAAACAAACAAAAATAGTTTAGTTTATAATATAAATAATTGTGAAATTTGGGTTTTAACAAATTTAAGGTACATTTCAGTTTAGTAAAAGATGTTAGACTACGTTTAAAGTGGTAATTTTAAAAGGAAAGCGAAGGTTAGTCAAAAAAACAAAAATGAAGTATATGATTGATTAGGATCACGAGCTTTTATTGCCTGAAATGACAATATTTTACTATTTTGGTAGATAAATTATGATGGAAAAATCAATAATAACAAATTCAATGACCACAAGAGTATTAAAAATGTTGAGCTCTCAGTATAACTTCGATACAAAATAAAACCAAACCATGTGTTCCAAAAATTTAGATGGTAAAACCCAAGAGGATTAGTAGAATGCCGATATTCCAAAGATGTAAAAATATCGGAAGGTAATGCGGATGAGCCAGATTATGAAGTGTAATGCCATTTGCGATGAATAAGGATCAAAACTAGAAAGGGCTGGAACGAAGGCGAAGGCACGTCTAGCTTTTAGAAAAAAACAAAGCTACTTACTTTTGTTATTTTATTATTAAATATATTGACATCTACGAGAATGGTGTTGTCAGTTTTTAAAATGTATTTTTATTAACTATAATAAAGTCACTAGGAAACGGAAATAAATGAGGGATTAAAGAAAACTCAAATATATTTATTTCATACTTGGAAGAAGAAAATTGCCCAACACTTTCCCATTTACAGGACAATATTTTTAATAATAAGTAAAAATAATAAATGTGCTATCTAAAAATACAGGGTGTCCCGAAATTAAACGGTCATATTTTAACAGCGTAATCTACATCCTAAAATAGGAATAAAAGTTCATATAAACATAGGTCCGAAAACGTTTCGTTTTCGAGATACAGGGTGTTGCAAGTAAAGTCCTGATGGCACATTTTTGTAAATATTTTCTAAAATTTCTTTAGTCACCGGTTTTTCCAAAGTAAAAAAAAAATAAAATTTTTTGATTTCACAGGCCTACTAATTATTGTTTACACTTTCGAATAAAATAACATCAACTTATCATGAAATTTTCAAATGCTTTTTTCTTGAAAATGGTGCGTCCTAGCGAGATGCAACATTAGTAGCTTTATTATAAAGAAAACATTGGTTTTCCAAATTTTATAGTCAAAAATGTTAAAAACTGTCAACAAAAAAAACTTAGGGCAATTTTTACCCTGAGCCCCCCCCTAATTTACCCACCTATGAAGATGATCAAAAACTGGGGTTTGGTCCATTAAATAGACCGTAAAAATGTAAGCATTTTGTACTAAATTTCACTTAGTTATCTTTAAACGTTTAGAAAATATTTACAAAAGAGTGTTATCGGGACTTCACTTTTAACACCCTGTATCTCGGAAAAGAAACGTTTTCGGACCTATGTTTATATGAACTTTTATTCCTATTTTAGGATGTAGATTACGCTGTTAAAATATGACCGTCTAATTTCGGGACACCCTGTATAATTGTTAAATTACAAAAGTAATTCTACTACGTTGTGATGTAACATATAATTACACGAAAAGTAAATAGAAGTAGCTAAATAAAAACTATAATAGAAAACAAATAAATATTGAGAAAAAGTCAAGAAAATATTAAAGAAAACTTAAAAATTCTTACGAAAATAAAATAAAGAAAATGCAATATAATACAATATACCTATTTATTACATTATTTCATTAAGAGCCCCGCATACCGCCTGATCAATTCAAATGCGGGATTTGCTGGTTACGTCGTCTCTTTTTTATCGAAATAAACAATAGGGAGTTTTAGCAAACAGCCGCTAACCATCCGCTAACGTTACCTTAGGGATGACTGTAATCTACTCCGTTCAATGTTTATGAAAAAGGTCACAATCTAAGTTTAACGTAACGTTAGCGGAAATCTTACGTACATTTGCTAAAACTCTCTATTATCAACTGAGAATACATTGAAAAAGTTGTTTCTAAATTCGGATACGCGTATATAAATACGGTAATAGAAGCGAAACGACGTTAGCAAAAAAAACTGTGTTTTACCGTTTTTTAAACTATATACGCCAATATGACGAAAACTGTGCAAAAATTCGTAAAAATTTATTCTTGATTATTATTAGGCAAAAGCTTAAGGATTCTAATAGTTTTCAAATCATATTTTTATCATAAGTCATAAGCGAGATAATTAAGGTAAACTAACATTATGTCACAATATGCTTGATGTACAGAAGAATATAAATTATTAACATATTTATAAGTGCGAAAATTGCTTACAGGAATTTAAAATGGTAGATATATTTTGTATTTTTTAATTTATTAAAAGTCGGGATAAAAGCTAAAAGATGTGCAAATTTTTATGTTCTAATAAAAAGTTGAATTATAAATTCAAATAACTAATTAAATTTAATTTTTTTAAAAAATTGTTCAAATAAAAGTTGTTTGTAATATCATTCTCTATAATTCTTATTCCACACAAAATTTCTCTAAAATAGACCGTATTCGATTTATTTGAGAAAACGTAAATTTTGAATTTAAAAAAAAAAAACAAAAAAGGAAACAGAAAAACAAAAAATTTTAAATTTAGTCTGTAATCCATCCTGCGGTAAAATGATTAAATTTTGGTAGTCGTAATATCTGGGGGATACCTTATAGAGGGTCGTTTTTCTACTTTATGAAATATATCTGTTATTTACAATTAGAGAAGAAAATTCTTCAAATAAAAGTTGCATATAATGTTATTCTATATAGTTTTTGTTATATACATAATTTTTCTAAAATGTTCCATATTCAAGAAATTTGACAAAAAGTGTAAAATTCCAATTTGTAAGAAAATTGCTCAAATAATAAAGTTATTTGCGAAATTATTCTCTATAATTTTTATTCTTTATATAATTTCTC